TATAAACCATAATGAGATAAACCATAACTACTTCACACCCACTAGAGGGCTTTAACAAAAAAGATGGGCAATAACAAGTGTTGGCAAGGATGCAGAGAAACTGGATCCCTGATACATTGTTGGTGGGAATTTGAAATGGTATAGCCACCTTGGAAACAGTCTAGTAGCTCCTCAGAAGGTTAAATACAAAGTTATATGATTCAGCAGTTCCACTCCTAGGAATATTATGAAAATAACTGAAAACAAGTCTTAAAAAACCTATCTCAAATGCTCACAGCAGCATTATTTATAATAGCCCCAAAGTGGAAACAACCCAAATGGCCCTCAACCAATGAACAACAAAATGTGGTATTGGTCAACAAAATGGATCAACATAATGGAATATTACTCAGCAATTAACAGGAACAAAGGACTAATACATGACAATATCTCTGGTGAGTACATCAATGGCAAGGGTAAACCTTCAAAGTATTATGCTAAAGTGAAAGAAGCTAGACACAGAAGGCTACATCTTGCAAGATTCTATTTATACAAATGCCCCAAACAGGTACATCCACAGAGACAGAAGGTAGATTACTGGTTGCCTGGGGTTGAGGGGAGTGGGCAATGAGGAATAACCACTAATGGGTATAGCATTTCCTTTTAGGGTGGTGAAAATGTTTTGGAATTATCACAGTGGTGATGGTTGTACAACACTGTGAATATATCAACAACCACTGAATTGTTCATCTTAGGGTGAATTTTATGGTATGCGAATTATGTCTTAATTTAAAAGATAAACCTACATAAAATTCAAACATTACAGACATACATAGAAATGAAACTTTCCCTACACTCCTCTTCAATGGTGCTCCCGGTTTTTTCTTATTCTCTATACTGATTTCATTTATAGGGTGTGCATATTTAGGAAACAAACTAGGACCCTGTGCATACTGTTTTGTGATTTTCACTTAATGTGATTTGTTCATTTTTTTTTTTTATTGGAAGAGAAAAATTCCCAACCTGACTTCTTAAGGAATATAGCAAATCCAGAAGTCATAAAAAAAGACTTATACCTTGACTACATAAAACTAAAAAAACTTTTATATGGGAAAAGGTACAATAAATAAAGAAGCAGACTAAGGGAATATCCAAGCAACATTTATGAGAAAGGGTTAATATTCCTAATATTGGGGAGTAAGATTCCTACATGTTGATTTAAACAATGCAAAAGAAAAAATGGGCAAAGAGGTGAACCAACAATTTACAGGAAATGAAATATCAATGTTCATTACACACAAAACAACATGTCAGCTTCATTAGTAGTCACCATTTTTTGCCTATCAAATTGGCAAAAATTAAAAAGACTGGTGACAACTAGTATGGGCAAGAATAGGGGAAACTGGACATTCTAAGTTGTTGGATGAAATGTGAATTGCTACAACGTTTTGGGTAGGTCATTAGGTAGTGTTTAAAAAATGAGCACAACATTTAGCCCATCTATGAAACTAACCCACAAAAATAAAAGCACCACTACTAACAGTATGCTCACAAAATGTTTATTGCAGCCATGTTTATCAGAGGGAAAAACTGAAAACAACTGAAATGTCCACTGGTAAGTGACAGCTGAATGAACTACGATTTACAAGAACCAGAAATACTAGAGAAACATGTCTTGGCCCTATGTGATTGACCTACAGCCATGTGGATGGTAGACAGCTATGTGAAAAAAGGAAGCTGCTAACTCTACAATATAATGCCATTAAAATAAAACCCAAACCCATAAAGAGGTGAATATATATTTGTATATTATTGCAGGCAAAGAGAGAGCCTGTGAAATTTGGTGTGTTTGGGGCTGGGTATGCTATGTTCTAGAATTTAAAAAAGAGTGTCATTTTAAGAAACTGATTATTGATAAAGGATAATACTGTGCTAATTTGATCTTTCTCGAAGCTAGGGAACAGTTAAAAAGGATGGGAGAAGCCAATGATTGTGAGATGGAAGGGCTGCTTAACATGGTATAACTACAACATCTCACATAATATAAGGTATGTGAACACTTTTCTTTTGATCTAACATTTTGGCTCCCTACAGGGGTGGAAGAAGAGAGATTGGGAAAATGCACGTGAAGTATTAGACTGGTGTCTGGCAAGGGGTGGAAACTCCTGTCTTCACTTCTGACTCTGGTGTCTCCTTGGGGTTCACTTGAAAGAGAAGGCACCTGGATCTCATAGGAGAGCAGGGCAGAATCAGCCCAGCAGATGCTGGCTTCTTCTGATCAGTTCAGGAAAACAAGTTTTGACTTGTGGAGAAGGATCTGCCTTGAGCACTATTACTGGGGATAATACTTCAACCAGGGTCAAAGTAACTCCCTAAAGCAGGTTATCAATCCTTGAGCAGCAGTCACGGCAAGTCCCTGAGACAGTTCTTGGAAAGCTAACCTCCTCTACTCTAGGAAAATTAAGACGTAAAATTGGGGAAAACCTTAGCTTTACTATAACTGTCCTGTCCGAACTGTACCACTGAGAGGGACTATGATTTCCAAAATGGCATACAGCTTTGGTAAATGTTTCTTCTTTCACTGTTCAGGAATGCAGAAGATGGATTCTTTTTTTAAAGGTAAAAATAAGAATATTTTTAAAAGTAGGGGTATTTCTCAAGGGGGGAAGGCTAGTCCTGTTCGTGACTGTTTTACAGGTTGAATGAGTCCTCCTTTTAATTGAGTTACCATTTTTAATTCTAAGGTAAACAACTGACATGGCTCCAACACAGAAAAAATACATGTGTTCTTGCTGTGGTCTCGAGTTCCAAGAAATGACTCTATGCTCTCTTTTGGGATATTGGTGGCGGGGCGAGGGGGTGGGGAGCGCAAAAGAAGATGTATCTGAAACTGACAGTTCTTCGAACAAATGCAAATGTCATAAAAACACAAGCTTCCCTTGAGCTTAATGGCCAGTTTTTTTTTTTTTTTTTTTGAGACAAGGTCTCACTCTGTCACCCAGGCTGGAGTGCAGTGGCAATCTCAGCTCACTGCAACCTTCTCCTGGGCTCAAGAGATCCTCCCACCTCAGCCCCACAAGTAGCTGGGACTACTGGCATGAGCCACGACACCCGGCTTTTTTTTTTATACTTTTGGTAGAGATGTGGTTTCACCATGTTGCCTAGGCTGGTCTCGAACTCCTGAACTCAAGTGATCCACCCACCTCAGCCTCCCAAAATTCTAGGATCACAGGCCTGAGCCACCACACCTGGCCCCAGGCTCCTCTTAAAGGAGAGACAAAAAACAGACTGCAGGCCTTTGTCCTCTTCTCCCTCCAGCAGTCCTTGGTAGGAAGCCATGATGCAGATGAGCTGGACGCAGTGGCTAGCCTTCCACACCAGGCACGCTCATTCACGGTTTCAGAACAAAAGGAAAACCTCACTAAAGAGGTCAGAGGGAAAGAATGAGTAAGGAGAGAGAAAACATAAGCCTTCACTATTTTCAGGAAAGCTCGATCTTCCCAATGTTAGGGACACAGATGTGAGCCTGGCTTGGGGCACGAGGCACAACCCGCCACCCCAAACCTAAGGAGAGACGGCATATTCGCATGGGAATAGCTCCCATTCAAATTTCCTTTCTAATTTATTTTAAATTAAATCCTTTCAGTGTTTCTCTGTCTTTCTCCATGTCTGCTAGGCAGTGAAGAGAGGGGAAGAAACCAGGCTAGCGAGCAAAGAAGGAAGTGACCACAGGGCATTTTTTGCAGTTGGCATAGGGCCTTTGGCATCTACTTTCAAAACATGCCCAAACTAAAAACCTCATGTGCTTCTCGCCAATCTTGCAGAGGCTGAATAAACTGCACGTGGCTCTGTGAAAAGCCACCTCATCCCATGTGGCATTTCTGCTGTCTGGTTGGGTTAACATCTCTGCCTTACAGAGGCTGGTAACATCCAGAGAGCAGACGGGTACCAAGGTTACTGGCCTCAGGAGGACCAGTTTTCATTTCTTCCTGTGTTTTTGGGATACACAGCTCTGAGAAGGGACTTGTCACTGGGTTTGTTCATTACCGTTCCTGAGGGGCGTCTGAGACACAGGTAGCAGTCTCAAGCTGGTACCTTGTCAATCAGCAAGACAGTGCCATGAACGCCAGGTCACGACACAGACTCTCTCAGGTCTTCCTAGGGAATGTTCATGTTATTGGGAGGTGGGTCCTCTGGGGGAGGCCTCTTCTTTCCTCTCCTTAGTCTTGTGAGTCTTGCTCATGATGTGGCTGCTGTTGCCCCTGTTCCCCTCTCCCAGCAATGGTAAGACACATATGGGGCCTCTGGACATTTTTCCTAGCAAGTACATTGCTTTCAGGGTGGATGAAACTGCTACTGTACCCCACTACTTCTCAAAATGTCTTCCTAGCGTTTGAGGGAGCTTGGGAAATCATCCATTATACATTATGTGTGGCCGACTAGGGTGCTTCTGTGATGACCCCAGGCCTGGGATAAACAGTGAGCCTTCCATCACCTTCACTGTGATGGACATGGGATGGCCCTGGGGTCTTCTGTTGACAAGGAAAATCTAAAAGGTGCTGGGGAAGTGTTGATCTATTTGGTTTCAATCAATCAATCTGGAAAGAGATGCTATATCTTCCTTTGTGCTGAAGGGGTGAAGGGCAAGGATGAGGGTGATGAACATGGCATCCTTCCAAAGCAGATGTAGGAGGGGGAAGAGAAGGAGGAGAAAGAGGGGGGTCTGGAGTGCCTCAGTGCACTTCATGCATTAGACTTCAGTGTTTTTTTACTCAGCAGCTTGCCTCTGCTTGTCGAGTATTGAGATCCAGATCAAATATCAAGTGCTTTTCTAGGACGGAAGTGGTTAATGTGGAATCACATTCAGCACCCTGCCTCTGTGGATGGGGAAGGCAGTCTCTCTACTGCCATCTTTAATCTCAGCATGTAAGAACAATCTGGGAGTGGTGGGGGGCAGGGAATAGTCCAGATAAAGGGCCTAGAGAGTGGGTTACATGCTTGAATTTATGTGGGTTCCCTACCTCCTGGCCCCTGTCCTGCACAGGACACGACTCACTGTCTGCTTCCGAGAACGATCCGGATTCGTCACTGGAGTTGGTTCCGTAAGACTGCTCACATTTAATCTGGGGCCGCACTTGGTTGTACATTCCGTCTCCCATCAGGCCTGGTTCCTGATGTTCTGTGGCAAGGAATCTGGCTCCCTGGGAACAGGGCGAGGAGGAGAACTCACAGAGAGGGAGGCTGCAGGGCGAGCCCCCGCTCCCGTCCTCCGCATAGGAATAGGAGGAGCAGGAGCTGGAAGTCCTGGTCCTGGTCTCCAAGGGGGGTGAGCGAGGGCAGACTTTGATTGGCACCGGGCAGCTGGTGTTGGGCCGCATCCTTCCTGGCAAGTGGTCGGCCATCAGCCCACCGTGGGAGTAGGCCTGTGAGCTGGGGAGGGACTGGCCAGCTCCCACCCACAGACCCTTTGGCACCGGCTCAGAGAGGTCTTTGTCCAAACTGCTCACCCCAGAATAAGAATGCACCGAGGTGCTCACTTGGTCACAAGCGCTGGAGGAGAAGATCACGCTCCTCCGGTCCAGCTCTCCCTCCTGTTTACAGAGAGCCTCCAACCCAGGCCCCCTGAGGGGCGACCCCATGGTGAAATTGGACACCTCCTTCTGGCCCACGTGGGGCTGTCCATAATTCCCTGTGAAAGGGGTGTAGTCAGTTTTAAGGTCACCCTGAGTGATCCCCTTGTCAAAAGGGCACGCTGGACTCCTGGCAAAGTGCTGCTGAGATGTACTGGGCAGGCCAGACAGCTCCACACTTTTCGTTATGCTGAACAGAGACCTTAAGCAGGAGGGCGAGGCCACGCTCCTGGATCTCTCCAGGCAGGCGGCCCCAGCTGGGGCCATGGGGGTAGGGGCAGGGCTGGGCTGTTTCCGGTCCATCTCGACATCCCCCGCTCTGTCCTTGGCGTCAGGCTCATCTCCAGACAGGCAGAGTGTGATGCTCTCTTCCTCATTCTCTTCACTGGGCGGCTCACTTTTAATCTGCCCCCTGGCAAGCCCTGGCTTGAGGCTGTTGCTAGAGTTTTCTTCCCGGAATGTGCTTGCAAAACCTGAGGTACTGTGTGATGATGCATTATAGACATTCTTGGTACATGCAAGCTGGTATTTCTTGTATCTGGGGTACTGCGTTAACGCGTCCTTTTCTGAGCTCTCCTTGGTGTCCGTGGGCACGTCGGGCTCGGGCAGCAGGGCTTCTTCCTTCTCTGCTACGGGGATGGCGGCGGCCTCAAAGCTGATGGGCTCTGGAAGCATCTGGTCCCTGGGGCAAGCCATCTTGGCCGTCTCTGAATCCATCGTCTCCTCCTCTTCATCCTCCTCCTCTCCTGCAGAGTTCTCACAGTCCTCGTGCGGGCGCTGGCATGCAGCATCCTTCCGGCACACAAACAGGCCATCCTCACTGTTCAGGAGCTGGGTCTGCAGGAAACTGAAGCAGGAGTCCTCCAGGTTGTGCATGCGCAGGAACTCAGCACAGCGGATGACCTCGCGGATGTTTTCTCTGCTGAGTAACAGCTTGGCAGTGTAGGCAAACTGTAACAGCGGCCCAAAGCCCCTGGCCGTGACCTGCAAAACAAACAGGAAAATCGCCAACATTACCATCAGCACCGCTATTGTCCCGAATCCCTCAACTGAAGCAAGATAACCAGACAGTGCTAATGTCCCAGAATAAAGACTGCAAAGGGGCAGTTAATCTTGTAGTACTGGGTCAGCGATGACTCTGCTTCCAATAATTAGTGCCTGTCTCGCGCATGCCACTGCTGTACTCCATCACGGCACAGGCAGAATTGAAAATCACCAGGGTCAAGTGGCTAAACAAGATGACAACGGGTTCAGTGTTTACACTAATGAAATATCCTGGCAAAAATGCATGGTGACAATGGGGAGCCTATTAATTTCCCTCCCAATCGGTCCTGTTGAGAGCCATTCTACACGAGGGGGGAGTGTTGTGACAGTTCTTGCAGCTTAGCTTGCTGGAGCCCAAGAGAGCCTTAACGTTTTCTTGTCAACCACAAAAATGACAAGGTGGCCCTGCAAAAAACTAAGTCCAGGGAGTTGCAAAAATAGGTTTTCCTCACTTACAATGTTAAAAGAGACATTAAAACAACTCTGTTTTGCTCATCCATCACAGTTTCTACTTGAGACTTTCGGTCATGATGTCCTACCTGATCTTATAATGATGATGATCTCATTATCTCACCAGAGATGACAACAATCAAAAGCGGTGTGCTCAAGACGAAATCAACCCCTGGCCCATAATGAACGGGGGTTGCAGAGCTAAACAAACTGGCTGTCATTTAAATGGTTGAAGCTGCTGAGTGGCACAGGGTATGGGCTATTCCTTCCCTAATTATTGGCAGCAGCTTTGCCATGCAGCTGTCTTTTTTTCCTGGTAAATCTTCAGGGGCTAAGCCTACTGTCATTTGCTGCTTATCCATTATATTTTACACAGATTGAAAGTGTGCTATTTATGCACAGCTTGCATATGCACACAAACACGTGTGCGCACGCACGCATGCCTGCTCACACACAATGACTTAGACAATTAAGAATATGTTGCCTGAGGCCAATTGTTTTTTCAGATGGAAATGGATTAAACTTGCTGGTGTTCATCACGGTAGGCTTCCTTACCCTGCACATAAAACCACACATCCTCTAGGTTTTTGCAAGCACCGCTGACCCCACAGGAAGGTGAGGCATGTCTACAAATCCTGTACAAATCAAATGAAAGCAGCAATCATGGGGTCCTTGCTAGAAGCTATGGTAGCAGTGATACAAAATTTTAGCTGGGGGAGTGAGTGCACTGCAAGGTGAACTGGTAAGCTTTGTAGCTGACTTCTGCATGTATTAAACTCACCGTAGCATACAGAGCCAAAATTCTTGCAAGTACCTGTAATTGATGTTCAAGATTCAACCTGGACATTCACTCCTTTGGGAGCGCTCTCCAGTCCTCTTAGAGAGAATGAATGACATTGTCCTCTCAGCTCGCATAGCCAGGTGAGGAAATGTGCTGGATTCTCCAGGGCAGCAATGACTTCATATCACTGCATTCTTTCCAGTAAGGGAAATTTCTTAGACATGTAACTGAACGGGATTTTAATTGTTAATCTTTTTAAAGTACTTAAGTAAGATTCCATCTTAAATTTTTTTTTTTCCTGTCAGATGACGAGTCCAGAGATATTTGGTTAAAAAAACAAAACAAAAAGCCATGACTGCTAGACCTACATTATAAAATCTATGTGGGCAATCACTGCCATCTCCCTTTTATTATACCTAATTGTGTCTGTTTCTACCCTAAGACAGCAAGCTCCTTCAGATCAGGAATGGTTTTGTCTGTCTTTGTAACCTTGCGTCTAATCTAACCTGGGGTCTCTAACTTGGTAAATACTTGTTAAAAGCTTGTATGTTACCGAATATGTCGTAAGTTGAACTGTGTGCTAACATACTACTACTGTGTACACAAGGTAACAACACAGTGTGTTTAGAGGGTGCTGTCTCAAGTTACTTTTGGAACAAGGCATCATGTAAATCAACTAACCAAACTGATCAACTGATCAAAGGCAGGCAGGCAACGGTCTTTGTTTGCCCCGTGTCACAGTACCAGTATTAAAAAGGAGCTCATCTGACTGACATTTTGTATCCTGCTAAGGTGACATGGTAATAGGTTCAGCAAATGTAGTACTGACAATACATCTGTTTTATGTCCTTCCAGGAATCTTTAAAAGAAAGTAAAAAAGCAAGGAAATGTGTATTTATAGGTAACTGAAGAAGGTGACAAGAATGTCACATGACCTATTCCTTTACTGCCACATGGCTCCACCACAAAGAAAGAAATGGTAAAATCAATGCAGAGTTGACCCCTGCCCTCATAATGATTCTGTGCTCCTCTGTAATGTGCCAGTTGCCGAACGGGTGGTTAAGACACTTCTTGAGTTTTGGCAAAGGTGCTCACTATATGGGAAATGTAGGAAATTACTTTCAATGATATTTACACTGTTCATACAGTTTTTCTCATACTCCCATCCTTATCACCATTTTTTTTTTTTGATGCTGTAGGTCTACGTAAGCCTTACCACTATCCTCCACTGTGGCCTCTTGTAAAGAAAATTTCTAAAGAAGCAAGGGACATCCATGGGGATCTGTAGATCAGGAAGCAGTACTGGGAGTCACCCTCTGCCACACAGCTGGCTGCAAGGAGCTGGAGAAAGCATCTCCGCTTAGAGAAGAGCTGATGCTTAAATGTATGAATTGGACTAAGGATGCAAATGTGCAAAGTCTCCACATCACAAATCAATGGCACTCCCTATATCACTGAGGCTTAGGAGACATGCTGAGCTTGAAATGATCGTCATATCATCATGAAAGAGTCACAGATAAAAAACCTTTTTTTTTTGAGATAGAGTCTCACTCTGTCACCCAGGCTGGTGTGCAGTGGTGTGATCTCGGTTCACTGCAAGCTCCGCCTCCCGGGTTCACGCCATTCTCCTGCCCCAGCCTCCCGAGTAGCTGGGACTACAGGCGCCTGCCACCACACCTAATTTTTTTGTATTTTTAGTAGAGACGGGGTTTCACCATGTTAGCCAGGATGGTCTCAATCTCCTGACCTCGTGATCCGCCTGCCTTGGCCTCCCAAAGTGCTGGGATTACAAGCATGAGCCACCGTACTTGGCCAAAAAACCTGGTTTGTAAATTGTCACTTAAGCCCAAGGGCAGAGGAAATGGTGTCCTCACCATGAAAGTTCAAGAGCTCATAACTAGCTCATCTCCCATACTGGTTTCAGTCCTGCTTTGCTATATTTAAGTCTGCAAGATTTTGCTCAGCTTCTGTGTGTGAGGCTTTGTTTGGTGAGCCAGAATGACCATTTACCAAGTATCTCCTAGTGCCCAGCACTGTGCTCTTGTAACGCCTTGCAAGGCAGGCATGACTGCCCCTATTCTGTAGCTAAGGAAACTGTGAAGCAGGGAGGTGAAGGAGTTTATCCGTGGTCATAGAGCTAGTCAATGGAGAGCTAGGATTCCAAACCAAGTCCAGTCTGTTTCTTCTTCTGTGCTCAGTGGTGTGAGGGAAGGGTATGTGCAGGACTCAGGCCTGTGCTCAAGAGACCTACAATTTAGCTTTGTAGAAGACGTACAAATGATGAAAAGTTAACTAAGTAACAATGTAAGTAAGTCAACAATGGAAAAGCCATTGCAAGATTAGATGAGTAGTTGTCAACTGAGAAATCCAGACAAGTTCAGGATAGGAGACTACTGAGGCTGAGGGGACTAGCGAGGGGGCCCCTTGAACACTTTTATCAGGACACCTTGAGTGTCTGCTCTAGGTCAAGGGTTGCTTTGATACGATGGCTACTTTCTGAACTGTCACAAGGGTCCCTCCCAGGAACCCATCTCTGGTCTACTTTAGGCAGTGGTAATTGCTCCAGATACACAAAACAGAAAGCAAGTGCCCATCGCACCTGCCAGCAAGTGTTACAACAGGCAGAGGCTTTCTAAACACTGGCTTAGCCTCCATCTGGAGAAGCTGGCACTGCCTACCCATTTTTAGGAACCATTTAAATTCATTTATTATACTCAGAAGGCAAATATTCAGGTACCAGTGAAAAGCTGTATGTTCATGAAACTGTGACCACAAGTGTGCACTGTTACTTTTTGTTCTTAACAAACAAGGCTCTAATAATGGGAAAAAATAAGAGGGGGTGGGAGGTGGAGAATTACACACAAAACTAAACTCATAAAATGGTATTTTACAAAGTAATGATCATAAAGTTACAATGGAATGAAGTGGCTAGAAATAGAAGAACAGTTCCAATTCACTGATGTTAATGGAGGTGCAACCCTCTGCTCTAAGCAGACCCCTCTAGGCTAAAATCCACTGGTCAGCAGTGGCCTCAAGGTATGAGAAACAAATGCAAAATACGGTATTAGGGACAACTTGGGATAACAGTCTTGCATTTTGAATGAAAATATTGTGAATGCCTCATTTCAAAGAATAATTTTTCATCGCATTTAAATATGTAACTACCTGCTCTCATAATGTGCAATACTCATTCTGATACAGATGAGATGGGGATCACACAATGGGGCCAGAATACAGTTGCCATGTGGGGCCGAGACCTGGGAGAGGGCAGAAAGTTAACCCTCCAACCTCCCACCAACTGCTTCCTGGGAGGCAATGACCTCAGCTAGCAGTTGGCACATATGAGTTGGTTCAACCCTGAAAGAAATAAGGCCAGGCTACCGTGTCTGATGGTGCAAGTCAACATGATGACAATGTGTTGAAATTTGATCCACTGTAACTATGACCCTTAACCCTTTATTCCATTGGGTTCTAACATATCATCTCTATGCTGAAAGGAAGATGGGCTGATGAAAACTCAACTGGTAGAGAAAGTCTGGGCACTGTTTGCAGAGCTGGGGAGCTCAGTGTTTCATGAGACATCCATTTTGCTGCAGGACAGAGTTTACGGTAGGATACTCACAACAGTTCCATCTCTGGACTATGACAGGAATGAGGCAGTCAGCCTTCAGGCATTTATTGAAAATAGGGTTTGAGAATTTTTGAGACT